TGTGCAATCTAAAAAAAAACACACAACAAATTAAAGCATCTTTAGTGTTTCCATGTTTTTTTTAAAGGAATAATAATCCAAGATGTATGAAATCATTAGCATGGTGACACAAGAACATAAATGAAACGGCCCATGTCACTAGTTAAAACTGTATTTCTCTAGATTTGAACATTCTTCAATAATTGGGATAACATTTAAGTCCTTAAAATAACACTGCTGTAGTGTTCAAGAAATATTTAACTCAACAATTATTATACAAATGTTCGACTTTTTGACTTTGGCAAAGGGTTTTGATACTTTACACTAGATGGACAATTTTATCCAAAGAAATTTACATTACATTCAGAATTCCTGCTGCTGGTTAAACCAATGTTTACAGTCAAGAAAATGTGCATTTAACTTCTAATTTGGCATAAAGTTTTTGACCAATGACTGATAATGATAATTGGGACATTTCACTTTTATATTCCCTGCAGCAATAAATTCTAATATTCATCCTGTCATGTGGCAACATAAGAACGGTTTTAAAGAAGTACAATTTAAATAAAACAATTTAAAAACTTCTTATAAAATATTATTGAAATGATTGAATTCAATTGAATTTAACAGTAAGAGCTTAAGGCGTTGCTTGGTCACTTGCGTTTTTGTGTGTGCAAAAAAAAAAATCCACATTTCCAGGTAATCAGCAGTTCTATAAAATAATCCTGAACTTATGTGTATCTGTCTGAGGGGATTTTATGGATGACTGTCTTCATGTTGGGCATGATGAGTGACAGGGTGGCCGTCTTTTCATTACACAGGACAGTCGTGACTCTTTTTAGCAGTTTAGGCAGGTTTACTATTTCTTCAGCGTCGCTGATGTCAGCGCTATCAAGTGTATCATGTTGACGTGCATTTTTGTGTACCTCTGTACTCAAAAGAGTTAATGATCGTCGTAATCATAACTTTAAAATGCGATATGATTATTTATATAATGTGCACGCTTTCTCTTTCATTTCCACTGCTGTTCATACTTCCCACGCGGCTCCTGAACGATCACTCTGTTCCACAAACTGAATTTTGAACGTTTGTCACAGTGTTGAATGCTGAATGTTAGTCACAACCTGCAGGTTCTGTTCACTAAAGCAGACGCGCGCACGTCTATCATAGTCCTCCCTCTGTAGTAACAGCTCACAGTCAGCTCACGCCATGTGTGATTTTGCGGCTGCCAGTACATCATTATATAAAGATAGAATGATATTTTAGGGTGATTTGTTCCTTATAAATACAGTATGTGACTCTTTCAACACCATTAGGAGGTATCCATGTCGCTGTGCAAAGTATGTAAATCACTGTGAAGACTTTAAAACTTCGGCTATGTTTGACCCAGTATGCGTGTCAAAAAGCGGACGAGTCTAAAGCAATGACTGTACAACCGAAATGTTGCCAGACGTCTGATTTTGAGAGGATGGGCCATCCTCTATTTCAACTCCACTCATCTTGGTCTGCTAACGTTACTGCTGCTGCAATCTGAACTCACGTGCGACAGCAGGTGGAACGTAGCTCACGTGCAAACAGCTCAACTAATAAGAGAAAACGGACGTCATATCGTAATGAAATCGTCATAACGCCACGATGCATATTGTGACATTTTTGCATCGCAATAAATTGTACAACGATAAATAGTTACACCCCTAATATATATATATATTAGGGATGTAACGGTATTGTAAATACCGTCATACCGCAATATTAATTTTTTTCGATATTACCGAAGTCGCATGACTCGGTAAAACTATAGGTCTTCTGAGAAAATTTGCTCAGGCGAATGAAGCGAACGGGAGGTAACGAAAACTACAATTGCCATCAGCCCATGCTTGACCATCATCCGTTGCGGTCTGTTGTTGCTACATATCCAGTAATGCGGAAATGGAGTGTGCTGCTAGAGCGGGGATGAAAAGAGCTGGAAAACTCTAAAGCAGGTCGCACACCAGAAGCGCCACTCAGCGCCGCGACACGGCGCGTACATGACAGATTAAAGTATAGCAGGTCGCACACCAGAAGCGCCGCTCGGCGCCGCGACACGGCGCGTACATGACAGATTAAAGTATCGCACACCAGACGCGCACATTCGAATGATATTTAACATGAAACTAATCAGATGGCGCTCTGTGGCGCGGCTGAAAAATGAACTGCGTCCTGAGCCGTCGCCGGGTGCCGCCGACAGCCGCCGACTTGCGGCGCCGGTGTGTGTATCCTGATAGAAACCTATGATTAGAATTCTAAAATGCATGGCGCTGCGCGGCGCGCCGCCGAGCGTCGCTTCTGGTGTGCGACCTGCTTTACACGCACAGTTCAGTCCTGCATTATCTCCGTGTAAGTTCAGACTTCGCAAGTTTGATCAAGGCTGCAGTCTCTTCTTCTCAGTTTGATATGGAAAAGCAGATTATACCGAGGACACGGGTAAATCTTCAAAGGGAACCATGTACTTTATAACTTCATTCACATCACCCTGGCTTCGTTGTTTCACTTTCTCAACAATAAAATGTAAACATGATTTAAGGAACTGCCTATTTTCATTTTAATATTAGCAACTTAGACAGCAGAAATGTTGAGGCGTCGTGCTGCATATATGAGCGTCATCTTCACTGTGTGCATATTTATAACAAAACGGAGCCGATAACAACTGCCTCCTTTCAATTTCAGTGAAAATACGAAACACACCCTCTCTTTTGCTGAGTATCAGTTTTAAGAATCGATAATGGCCATTTTAAAAGTATAACATACAATAAGTTTATACATTATAGGAAATAAAGGCAAGCGATCAGTCAATATACAGAATGTACGTGGTTACATTAATCATTAACTTATCTTTGCGCTCAGCCAAAACACGTTACCTGAGAACAAGTAATAGATTCCAATGCCCAAAGTCAGGGAATATGTCGTTAGATAAAGACAACAAGATAAATGAAATATCCCGTTTAATAAATATAGTGAGATTAGATCCAGCGGGAGATGCTTGATGAGAAGTCTGACTAGCAGAGCTCTCATCTGGGTAGATGGGCTGAGTGTGATTAAATGTTGAATGTGATGAGTTTTCAACAATACTAAATTGAAACTTTATTTTTTTACATGGTTTAATAGTTTTTTGTTATTAAAATTGAAGTTCCTGTTTCAAAGCTTACAGATAGATGGCTAATTTGTATGTCATTTATACTTTTGGCACTTTTTTGGAGTATTTTCATAAGTTTTGTTTTTTCCTGTAAATGATTCAATAAATACCGTACCGTGACATTCATACCGAGGTATTACCGTACCGTGAAATTCTGATACCGTTACATCCCTAATATATATATATATATATATATATATATATATATATATATATATATATATATATATATGCACACTCAAAATTATACTTAAACATTCAGATATTTATCTTAGAAATAAACAGTTTACATAAAAACACTGACATGTATTCTGCAGAAGCATTACTAAATTCAAACATTTACAAAAGTTAAGGCATAAAAACCTCTTTGTGTCTGCATAGCTGTTAGATGGACAGTCCTCAGTGCAGCACCCTGTGTCTGTACGTGCAGCTGCTGGTGCCTCTGGAGCAGCACTAGATCCTGCCACCTCATCTTCTTTTGTGACAAATTTCAGCTTTGACCCTGCATGTACAATACAGAAGAATTTAGTCATTTAAAGAGCAACTCATGACACACCATTAAAACCATGGGTTAGTCAAGTACTCTTCATAATGTGTCTAAACTACAAGCAAAATGTGGATTTACCTTGCACTATAATCTATAGTGACAAACATTGACCCTTGCTGTCAGTATAAATTAAAGGCATTTGCAGTTTGAAGAAATGAGTGTAATTTTAAACAAAAACGTTTATTTAACATTCAGAACAATAATTAAACATTAAGGGATGCATGTAATTAAAAATGGTTTATGGCTTGTGACTTTACATTTTATATTCAGAAATCAAAGAATATTAGTCAGTTTTGTTATTTCATATTGCAATAATGTGCAAAAATGGAAACAACTGGCCTAAAAACACACTAATCTACCTATGGAAAGACTAAAGAGACTATATTGTCATTGCAGCGATACAACGAAATGAACTTATCAGCTCTCAGAGAGAACAGCAGCAATAAGCAAAGATAACTGAACTAAATTATAACAAACAATACATACAGTGAAATAATTGTGCAGTGCATGTGTATGTACAGTAGCTGGTGTGCAAACAGATTTGTAAAGTATTGCACAAGTTAATAATAGTAATAAACTGAGCTTATGTATTTAGAAGCTACATGGGGAAGAGGGGCAAACTTGGTTTATAACAAAAAGTCATAAAAGGTATCCTATCATAGTTTCAAGCACAATGCGTTAGCCTCAAAAATGTACTCGAACAGCCAAAAATATGTTCCCAGATTCATAGACATAAGTTACCTAAAAAGTAATTCACGGGATTCATTTTGTTCTTTTTACTTACTTTTTTACGGCTTTTGTCTTTTCCCTGTTGTCTTTGGGTTGCTAGCATCAATTAAAATTATAGGCTGCTAGTAGCCGCAAAGATAAGTGGGACGGGGCGCGCATATGCGTGCACGGAAAAAAAAAGTTGTCACATATATATTTTTTTTGCTTTAGACTCCGCCATAAATTGCACTTTTTAAATGTATTTGCAACATATTATCAATATTTTATTTACAATCAGTTTATGTTAATATTTAGTTAGTAATATATTTAATATTTAGTTTATGATATGTATGTTTTTATTGAACTATTGCTTTATAACCGACCTTGATTAAATATTATATAAGTGATATGATACACATTAAACCATATAGCTTAAGGCTGTAGACACGCGCGCGCACACAGATGTGTTACAGGATGTTATGATGTTAAATAAAAAGCAGAGGCAGCAGTGAGAGACTGAAGGATGGAGATGAGAGAGTTAAGGGGACTTTTAGGAAATGGGGCGGGTTCATTTACTCGTGTTAGGTTTCACACACACACACATACACTATACACAGCACACATGACTCTCCAATGGCCGCTGCTTCATACGCGGTTGTGTCTCAACTTTGACTAAAACACATCTGAAGGCTCTTAATGGGGCGTTTATTGTTCTTTTCCGGAGCGGACGGGAACTTTACTGCAGCATTGCCCTGATCAAACTGCGCGGCAGCAGGACTGAGGCGGTGAGTGGCAGCGGGGGCGGAGTCAACAGGTTCAGGTATTTATTCCAGATCTTCATTTGCTCTCTCACCTTTACATGCCGGAGGTGTTTTTGTTTAGAGGCTAAATGGGCTGCCGGACACTGACAGGTTAACTTTGCAAGTTTTGTTTTGCACCAACGGACCAGTTTACTGCGACTAAATATATTTGGATATATGCTTCTCATAAATCATGCCTAGAAAGCAACTGTGAGGTTTTGACAGTCAGTTTTGATTGTTTATGTAGCTGTGAACGTTGGTCTATATTTCACTGTTTGGCTGAAATGACAACCAGATGGTGTACACCTACATATGAATAGTGTCAAAAAAAGATATAAATTCAGTAAATTCTAAAGTTTGTATAAAGCTGTAATATTGTACAGTTCATAAGGTAATTTAGTGTCATAACATCGAAATATCATATGCTGATTTAGATGTACTATGTAGCTTACATTGTAGCTTTATGCACTTGAAGAAAAAACAACATACATTAGCGCTGTCACCACATCCAATATTGATACTTTTGTTAAATCCTAATATATATTTTTTAATTTAAATGTATTTTGAGGGGATAAACATGACTGATGTTTTAATTTGAACTTTTTTGTTTGTTTCTCTCTTCATCTAATTATGTATTCGTCTTTTATGCACAGGTCTTTGTAATGTAAAAAAAAATATAATATAATTCTTCAAGACAAAAATGGCTGAAGTAAGATACTCTGGTTATTTATAGTGGTTAAGGAGTCGTCTGATTGGTAAATCAGTGTTAGCTAACGTGGACCAGGTGCTATCAATCATAAGCACGTGCTCCTCTAGAAATTAGTTTATAAATAATCTTCACTTGTCATTTTTGCTGTTGTTTTGGTGGTCAGTGAACATAATGTGCAAATTGAGTTTTTGCAAATCTTCAAAAACATGCATGTGTGTGTATATGTGTTTGAATATATGTATGCATGAACCAATCAGTACTAAATTTTTAAAACATTAATTTCCTGCTAACATTTGAGCACTGTCGTGCAGCTTCTTAAAGGTTCTATATGTACGTTTTAGACTCTTATAAAGCATAAAAATACTAAAGCAAGTTTGCAGATAATTAAGAAACATGCTGAGTGAACATACTTGTTTATCTGATGTATATTTTAGTCTAAAATTTGGCATAAAAAACTACAATATTTTAAATGGCGACGCAGTGGGTAGTACATTTGCCTCACAGCAAGAAAGTCGCTGGTTCGAGCCTCGGCTGGGTCTGTTTGCATTTCTGTGTGGAGTTTGCATGTTCTCCCCTTTTCGCGTAGGTTTCCTCCAGGTGCTCCGGTTTTCACCGCAAGTCCAAAGACATGTGGTACAGGTAAATTGGGTATGCCAAAATTGACCATGAGGTATGAGTGTGTGTGTTTCCCAATGATGGGTTGCGGCTGGAAGGGCATCCGCTGCGTTAAACATATGCTGGATAAGTTGGCGGTTCATTCCGCTGTGAATTAAAGGATGACTTGGAAATCCCATTTAGGAAGAGTCTAACAATACCAGGGGTGTCACAGTGGTGCAGTGGGTAGCCTCACAGCAAGAAGGTCGCTGCTTGAGCCCCAGCTGGGTCAGTTGGCATTTCTGTGTGGCGTTTGCATGTTCTCACCGTGTTCGTGTGGGTTTCTTCTAGATTAGGGATGTCCAGACTCTGCAGGACACCAGCCCTCCAAAACAAAGTTTAGTTCCAACCCCAATCCGACACACCTAGGCTAGCTTATCAAGCTCTTACTAGGCATTCTAGTAATATCCTTGCAGGTGTGTTGAAGCAAGTTGGAGCTAAAATCTGCAGGACGCTGGCCCTCCAGGAATGAGTTTGAACAGCCCTGCTCTAGATGCTCCTGTTTCCCCCACAGTCCAAAGACATGCGCTATAGGTGAATTGAATAAACTAAATTAGCCGTAGTGGGTGTGAATGCAAGACTGTATGGTTGTTTTGCCAGATTTGGGTTGTGGCTATAAAGGCATACACTGCGTAAAACATATGCTAGATAAATTGGTGGTTCATTCCGCTGTGGCGACCCCTGATTAATAAAGGGACTAATCCAAACAGAAAATGAATGAAGGAACACAATAACACGTCTACTAAACCTCTTGCCATTTTTTTTTTGTCCTCCAGTTCTTTTCAATGTCCTGTGAATTTTCAACATCCCATGAGAACAACATAAACATAGGTAATAAGCATGACGAAAATTTGCAATTGATTACCTTGCAGCCGGGATAGGCAGATTCACACTGACTCCCATCTCCCATCTACAGTGTATCATTCTCTCACCCACAAAATCCTAGTTTCCTCAGATAGGGTGAGAGCAGTTCTCCTTGTACCTGAACTGTCAGAGAAAAACATCATGTGGACTATTGCACATAAACACAGCTGCGGCTTAAATGAAGCTGAATAACTGAGCGCATTAGCACTGTCCAGTTCTGAAGTCTTTCATCTTTGCAATTTAAAGGTTTCGTCATTTTCTTTTGCTCATTTTTGTATATATTTTATTGAATATGCCTATTCCCATTCTAGCCCACTCATCAAAATCATCCAAACACATTTTCAATAGGTGCTACCTCGTAAATAAACTGCACATATGAAATCAAATTTTCTACCTAGTGAAAAAGCTCTTTGAGGACCAGAGCCGCTTTCAGCCATATCGTCACCTTAGAATTTTAGTTTCTATCTGACATCTATGTCAAAATTGAGTTATTCACATATTCTTATTAAAAGACAACTTATTTACATAATTATTTATTACTGTGGGATGTTTTTTTTTTTAATAAGTAGTTTACATTTTAAGACTTTTTATTTAAAAAACAAAAACGGTTTATCCACAAAGCTTGGCTCTATAGGGATCTTTCTGTGAGCCAATCAGCATTTTTAATGCACAAACAAGGACCAATCAGGATCAGCTTTCTATGTAATTTCTCCGGACTGCTACATTGACAGCAGAAAAGACCAGAAAGGCTAAATCACAAAAAATCAGAGTCGACTAAATAATTCCGCACACAAAATTAAGAAGAAACCTTAAACTAAAACGATGTGTGTAAGTGTGTTGATTTAGAAGCAATTTTTGACATTAAGATGAAATGTTAAATTTGACATTGTTAAAAAAGAAACAGTTATTAAAAAAGTCATATATTAAATGTTAAATATTTGTATTTTTTATATATAGACAGTGAAACATTTTTCAGTGTTTATTAAACTAATTTGCTCATTGTTTATTTTCTTTTAAAGTGGTAAAATTAGCAGCCTCATCTCACGAGAAAACGTAAGTATTTTACGTTTTGCCAGTTTAGTGGCTAATTCGTACGGATTCGTACGAGTTCAGTCGTACGAAATTGTACGATTTTAAAAAGTAGGCGTGGCACCTTACCCCAGCCCTAAACCCAACCGTCATTGAGGAATGAGCAAATTGTACTAAATTGTACAAATTAGATCATACGAATTAGCCACTAACTCAAAAAGATACAAATTGCCATGAGATTGTGTTGAAAATTGGATATTAAGCCTTGAAGAACAAATTCCTAATTTAATTAATGGGGCAAATAATCCAATAAATACAATTAAATAGTTCCTATAAAGCATACATTTTTTATAAATATAATCATATTAATTTGATAAAATTAACAGCTGCACTGGACAAAATACTTAGCACAGCCTTGTATGAATTTACAATCAAAAATTTTACTTTCTCTATCATCAACATATTGTTACAACACCAAATTATATATTTTTGATTGTATTTCTTAAAAAGTAATGGTTTAATGAATGATCTGCCAGAAAGAAGCTTATAATTCCAAGTGTAAAATGGTTTTTCAGAATTAGAAAATTCTGTCTGCATTTGCCAGAGTTTTTTTACTCCAATTTCCAAATAAGAGAACTTTGATAATATACATTTAGAGTACATTTAGTGTCTCTGCCATGTTCATGTATAAAAGAGAACTGTTACATGCATAATGTTTGCTATGACATGCAAAAACTTTAAAGCTCAATATCTCAAAATCATTCAGAACGCAGATAGAACCTTATAATTCCAAGGTGACGATATATGGTATGAATAATTTGTGGCTTGACTGTATAGATCATTTTAGACAGTAGTGATTGGTCTGCAGAATGCACAGAATTATTTTTCCAAGATTGTTGCTCAAATTGAATAACATAAGCTGGTAATACTATGTTTATTTTACTGCCTGAACCCACAATACAGCATCCAGTGCCCCTAGAGAGCGTGAGAGTGTGGGAATAGATGGAGAGATGGAGGGAAGGTGGGAATAGGAGCAGGGACTGGGAAGTTAAACCCTTATGATGCCTGGAGCGAATGAAGGCACAGAGAGCTCTGTGCAGGTTACTCTGCAAAACACTGAAGTTCTTTACCTTCAACACGCACACAGTGAAATGGTTAAGTCTTATTTTAATACACCATCGTTTTATCTTGCTACTTCCTTTGAAGGCATTAGATAATCTCTATGTGTCAGATGAGGCGAATCCCTGTGCTCATGAGAGCAAGAAAGAACGGGAGAGAGTTAGCAAGAGATAAAGCATAGGTAGATGTTGAGAGAGAGAGAGAACAATTAGGTCAGTGAGGTATTGTAGGTGAACACTTTTTAGGGGTATTTTAATATAACTTGATTAACTGAAAAAGTACACAACAAAATTATTAATAATTTAACCAAAATTCAAATGAATAATGAATATTTAAATTAAATAATTGATTTTGAACAATATTTTACTGAATTAGTAAAGTACTTTTATAGTCTTTTTAGTATATGTTTAGTTAGCATGTCGTTACGTTGTACTTAGATTACCACTCCAGAATGTTGTCAATAACTTTTGGTTTAAATCTAATGCCCAGTGTTCAGTTCATATTTATGATTGTTTATCACTGTGTATATGTTTTCCCACCATATACTTAAGTTACTCTAAGTTTTAAATAATCCATAGGAGTTTAAACAGACTTGGTTGTTTGCAACAACTTTTTTAAAGCATTTTATTAAGCATTCTGGGATTG